CTAGATATTAATCAAATTATAAATATATCAATTCATGTGAATATCACTGAAAACCTTTTCTGAAAAGGTGGTGTCTATTTACTGGTGACCACGCTGTGTACGTTTCAACTTATGTTTATCATACGTATGTTTTGCCTCAATTACTTTCGCTAACCGTAGATACTTTCAACCATATTATCCGGTGTAATCAATTAATGAAAATAGTTTTATAAAATTTAGCATATTTAAAGTGTTATTTTGGGGTTGATTGATGAATATTACAGTAAAATATAATATTTAAAACTATCTCCTTGAGCCTCACGTACATAAATTTGATTCTTTAGCCAATACTTTGCTATCGCAATTGAAAGTCAGTGATTTTTGGTTTACATGCAGGGGGTCAAAGTAGCGGTAAAGTCTTTGAAAATAAGAAAACTTCATATATCGAGAAATGTCCTTCTAGAGTTGAAACAGGTAGGTTATACGTATGATTATAAACATGTATTAATGGTTACCGATATTTTAAACCAGAAGCTTTGTTCAAATTTTATCAGATCCACGTAACTTCGTATTATTGTGTTTTGTAAACTGCATTTTTACATGAACTTTTTTACATAAGCTTGTGCAGGTTTGTTTGTTTGCAGTTAAGCACAAAGCTACACAATTGGCTATCTATGCTCTACCCACCACGGGTATCGAAACTCAGATTCTAGCTTTGTAGGTCCGCAGACATACCGCTGTGCCACTGGGGGGGGGGGGCTTCTACATATTCCTATCAAAATAAATAAGACAGCTCGACAATATTGTAAATAGTTAGTTGCACAGTTCTCTGCTAATAAAGAACTCGGTTACTCTAGTTGATGGTGAGGAGCAATCTTTGGAGTTTAAAGTATTTAATGGAGAAAGAGAATTGCTTAAAACCATAAGAAATCAAAATGTTCTGTTATCACCAATTATCACTCAGATGCTACTGGTTAAAGTAACACATTTTCTCCAGTATACATCCTGAAACTGTCATTACAATAAAAAAAAAGCTATTGCAAATTATTTACGCCTAGTTCCATCTCTATCAAAATAATCATCATGAACCTGCAATTCAAAAGACTAAAACAGAAAATATAAGCTTTATAAATTCAAGCTTCTTTTAAGTTACGTCTCTAAAAGTCAGGTAACACGAATAACAAGTAAATGCAGATATTGCGTGATAATATCTGAAAACACACAAAAATGTTAAAAATGACTTTGTGGAAATAGTTTTGTTTATTTATTTTCGGATATTCAAGCAAAACTATACAAGGACTATCTGGGATAGCCGTCCCTCATTTTGATATGGTTAACTAAAGGGAAGGTAGCTAGTCAATAGTATTCAATGGAAAAAAAGAATCAATAGATTAATGTTTCGTCAAATCGATGTTTATCATGACCCAATGAAGGTCTTTTGATCGAAATGTTGACCACTTAATACTTTTGTTTCTTCTAGAGTGATTTTAACAATGTTTTTGTATCTTTAAGAAAATCAATGATCAATATTAAACTAAACTTTCTTCTTATTTTGAATAAATATCTATCCATATTTCATAAAAATTTCTTCAAGAAACAAAAGATAGTTTTTAAAGGTAATTTATCAAGAATGGACTTTATGTTATTTTTTATTCCAGCTATTGACAAGACTGATTAAAGACCATTGGAATAAATAGTTTCAGCTCTTTATGTTTCGCCCAATTAAGTGTAACAAATGTTATGTTTCTTTCTATTTTCAATGAGTCTCCCAGGTCTGACATGGCTTGGTGGTTAGAGTGCTTAACTCACAACCTTAGGGTCATGGGATCGAAACCCGTCTCCAAACATGTTTGCCCTTCCAGCCCAGGGAACGTCACAATGTGACGATCAATCCTGCTATTCATTGATAAAGAGTTCAAAAGTTGACGCATTTATTGACTATAAGTGATTACTAACACAACACAATAACTTGCTGCTATAAGTGGCAAAGGTGTATGACAACACTGTAAATATAACCTTTGTAATGTTGTTCTACCTTTCATTATAATTTAAGGAAACAACCTATAACTTTCAGGCACACGGGGGGGGGGGCAGCATACACTTTGAAGAATATAAACGTTACATCTTTATGGTACCTCCGATGAAGGTTTTAAGCCGAAACGTCAAGCAAAAATGGTTTTTCTGGAGTTAAGGGTCGTCATGTAAAGAAAAATAAATAAATTCATTTTACTTGATATTTAAGAATCATATTATGGAACCAGTTTAATTAAGGTATTATCATATACCAATGACTAGCATTGACTGTTTACTGCACAAGTAGCTCATTGTGAAGTTTTGTGCCTAACTAAGCTCCTTTTTATATGCATGATTAAAAATGGTTCATTTTCTAAAACTACATAACATGAAGGATATAAAATACTGTCAGTGGAACGTTTTTTTTTCTACTGATTTTTTTTTGGGAAGAGCAATAATTTTAAATACTAAATAATAAATGTGAAGCCCAATTTATCATTCGATTTACCACTTGTCATTGAGTGATATTGGTTTCCGGAAATTCCACCCCTCATCAGTGACCATGGACAAGGGTAAATTGAAAGAATAAGACTAGGCTTCTAGGCTCTTCATATAGTATTGGGGTGTATATTATACGTATGATATCTTGAGATGTCTTGTTTATATGATGTATTGGTCTTCACGAATTTCCCTTAGTATTTTATACAGTTTGTTGTAGCAAAAAAACATTTAAAATTCTTATATGTATGGTGTTTTGAGACATAATTTACTCACACAGTGATCTTATATTTATATAGAAATTTCAAGAATATGCAGCATTGATGCTAATAATTTATTATTTTGAATTATTCAGTCTAATTCTCTGGACATATATCCTCTTACTTGAAACGTTCCTGAAAAAAAGTTTGAATATTGAGATTACAGAAATATCCCTTGATGCAAATATGACTTACACATTAAGTCTTCTGTCAGTCACGATATTATCTCCTGGATCACGATATGGATGCAGAAAGCTTGTTTATACAGTTTATCGATCGCTTTTAGATCATCTTTAAGCAGAGGAATTACATGATCAGGGACTTCCGGATGTAACTACAGGCAAAACGTGAACTATATAAGGAACAACCTTGTCGTTCGAAACGCCATCTGTAGGGAGAAATAGATCTGGAACAGTCATTACGATGATATTAATGCAATGAGTAAAACACGAGACTCATCTCAAAGGATTCACTTACAGGGCACCTGTCAAATCCTGTGATTCATGGTCTACAAACTATGATAACTTCTACTACTACAAACAGCTATGAAAGTCTAACGATTGTAAAGAGACTGTGCAAGTTTTGAGATAGGTGAAATCGAAAATAATTTGCAATAGATTTAGCAGAGAGAAACCGGTGTTTAATTAAAAAACAGAAGCAAGACTACAACAATTGTAAACATGTTTAACTAAACGTTCTGGAATCAATGGTATGTAAAGATGTTTGTACATTGAAGAAGATGCACAAAATAAGTACTGACCTGTACAACCCCCCCCCCCCCTTTTTGACCTATACACCGTATCTTTTCAATTGTAAACTTTTACTAAACTTTCTAAACAGAACTAAATTTTTCTAGCTATTTTACGTCACTCCAGAGTCAGATGGGTCCTAATGGTTATCGTGTTCGGAATCTGAATTCGAGGATTTATATTTCTCGATCTGCTGCCACAAAAACGTGCTTCGGACTTTTAGGCCGTGATTGAGCTAAATGTGATGTCCAAATACAATTTTTCATCAGAAAACGGTAGCCTAACTGTTGGTGGTGGGTGATGTTGATAAATTTCCTTAATTCTAGTCTATCAGCTCAAAACTGGAGGCGACTATGTGAATATAGCCTTTGTGCAGCTTTGCTCGAAAATTTTAAAAGAAGCAATTAAATTATCCGCTTCGAAGTCACCTTTTTATTACAAAAATCTTGAGAAACTATGACACGTAACTTCTCGACAATTAAAATTACTCCGCTAAGGAACAATATACTATTTCAACATTTCCATTAATTATTGTCCCTCCTTTCTTAAGCTAACATATTATTCTTGACAGAACTTTGAAATTTGGAAATTAAATATTTCTATCCGCAAATTAAACTATACATGATGTTCAAATCCACAATATGTTTCAAGCTGAGAATCTTCTATCTACTCCTCTGCATATATCGGTCGTCTACCAATATGTTTATTTATTATGACTCTAAGGTAATTTATATTGGATAAACTTCAAACCTATTAAAAATACGTGTCAGGGAGCATGAGAATATCTTGAGCAGAATCGGTCAATTTTTATGCTTGTTCTGTTTGTGTAAATAATCAACAACCACTTTATTGATAATTTCAAAATTATAATCTCGAGCTCATCCGGCCTGCCCCCTCACCAGTGGCATAGCGGTATGTCTGCGGATTTATTCCGCTAAAACCGGGTTTCGATACCCGTGGCGGGCAGAGCACAGATAGCCCTTTGTGCTTAATAACAATCATCCAGCCTGAAAGTTTACTAACATTGAATATTCAATCAAGTTTGCTTTGATCACCAACAACTTCAGTTCCCTTCAACTATCTTTATTTAAATAAAAGTTTTTTCTTACACATATAAATTCCAACTTCTGCTGTTCTATAAATCCTTAAATATGAATTGCTATATTTCAGTACTTTTCTTTTTGATATTTCCTTTTTATGTACTTGTGTATCATCTATCTTCTGTGCATAATTTTCAATGTATATTTTTTTTATAGATCGCTAAAGATGGAGGTGACCGAAACGGTCTATATTTATAAAAATTATTAACGCTTCACCAATGTCAATAAAAGATCTTATAGAGGTGTTTTAGTTCAAAATTGTATAAAAAGTAATAAGAAATATAATATATGTACGTTATACTACAAAATATGGTTCATCACTTTCCCTATTATTCATCTTGATTCCTCGTGAAATGTATTTACTTATGTATTAGTATTGTGAACAGAAACTATGAAATTCAGATAGGAAAAGAAATATGATAAGTCGTTACTTTCGATCACTTGAACTGCAAAATTAAGATAAGAGCAAATAAATGAGATATCCGTTATTCTATCAACTGTTAAATTAGCTTCTTGTAAAGCGTTATGAACCATTACATCTAATCAACGTTGACCAACTTCCAGTAACTAAAAAAAAACATTTCTCGCAGTCTCAGCAACATATTTATATATACTCTGTTAACAACTTAATTTATATGTTAAATAACTTTAATTCCAATTTTTCCTCAAGAGCCTTAAAAGTTGGAAAATCTTAGTTTGTTTATGGAATCGGAGTGTAGATTGGTTTAATTGTTTACTGATATTTGCAATGGTGTAAATATAGTACTGTAAGTGACGGCGTTTTTGGTATGAAATACGGTGTAAACATAGTACTTTAAATGTAAACGTTTTTGGTATGAAATACGGCGTAAACATGGTACTTAAAGTGGCGAAGTTTCTAGTATAAAATACATATGTTGTTAAAGATCAGAAAATTAAGACAAAAATATTTTTTTTAATCTAACGACAGTCATCAGGGTTCCATATATGCTTCTTAATTTTTTTTCACGGTTTGAATTTCTTTCTCTTTACGTTTTTATTCAATCCAGAATTTGAATGTACAAAATAGCATCGTATTGAAGGATAACACTTTTTAGCACGGAATCTTCTCCTTAAAATCAACTGTCTCTTTAAAAGTAAAATCTGATTCTATAACTTATTCCAATTTTGAAATGTTCTTTAATGTTAAAATGCTTGTACATTTCAGATTAAGGACATTACACATGACAATCTGGTTCGATTTGTTGGATTCTGTCCAGATGAACCATACATTGTCCTAATTTCAGAATTTGTCTCCAGAGGAAGCCTAAGGGTATAGTGCTTAAATTTAAGCTTTCTTTTAGTAGAGACTTTATATTAATGTATGTTTCTCCTTTATACCATTCGTGTTTAGCAAGGAACTTGAATTAACTTGCTATAGGCTAACCATATCAGATTCAAACTAACAAATACACATCAGTGTAGTTGAGATGGAGGCATCTAACCACCATTTTCCTTAATAGTTCCCATTAAGTACGAATTTGCTCTATCGTTCCTTGAACTTTTACTTTTTTCGTAAAATGCAAACGTGCTGTTACTAATCGAACTGTATAACTGTACAAAACTACTTTATGAACATCTTAACTGTACAAAAGTACTTTATGAACATCTTAACTGTACAAAACTACTTTATGAACATCTTGTGTCTAAGAATGCTATCCACCTACACCTAGAACATCCTTGAAAAACAAATAAATTAAATTCTAACCAATTTGTCGAGGAACGTGAGGTTTGGCATTATCGTATTGCAGAAGAGCACATTCTACAGATGTAGTATCGGAAGAATATTGATCTATTAATTGCAGTATTTTATCGACCCCAATTAAAATTATGTCAAGCATATCGGAAAGAATAAATATCGTTTCATTTTGAATGCCTCTCACTGACAGATAGATAATTATCTTAACATTGTTTCAGAAAACTTCAAAGGAAAATGAGTTATTCATATCATCAATAAGTGATAAAACTAATAATTAATATTATCAATGACTGATAACACAAATCATTAATATTTTCAATAATTGATGACTGAAACAAGTTTTCAATATATCAACCTGTTAGAAATTTCAAAATTCCTACTCACAGTTATAGAACTATCATTACAAAAGACTGATTATCTCTTACAGAAGAACTACAACAGAAAAATGATAGCTCTTTTCGGAAAATTTAGTTAATTTAGTTCTATGTATGTTTTTGTCTTGATATTATGAAATGGCTAAATGTATTATGGAATTGCAATCCAGAGAGCAATAAAATATTTGTAACTTTCATTTCTAGCGTGGCCAGGTGGTTAAGGCACTCGACTCGCAATCTGAGGGTCGCGGGTTCGAATCCCCGTCACACCAAACATGCTCGCCCTTTCAGCCGTGGGGGCGTTATAACGTGACGGTCAATTCCACTATTCGTTGTTAAAAGAGTAGCCCAAGAGTTGGCGTTGGGTGGTGATGACTAGCTGCCTTCTCTCTAGTCTTACACTGCTAAATTAGTGACGGCTAGCGCAGATAGCCCTCGTGTAGCTTTGCGCAAAATTCAAAATAAACAAACAAACATTTCTAATGTGTTCCTTTGTACAAAATAAAATGTTCTTACAGTTAATTTAGAATATATTTAATCACAGCATACAACATCATCAATTATTCTGTCTCAACTGTATAGTATCACACAGCAAAAGTAAAAGGAAATTGTAGTATATTGTGCATATTCAGTGAAAGAACCGATACGGCTCTTTATAAATTTATAATACTTATTTTAGATCAAGATCATGCTGCTTCAGCATAAGGTGTTATATATCATGATGACTGATATATTGTAAATGAAAATAGCATTTTGACGTGTACTTTATGTGTTGAATTCCCAGCCGACCTGAAGAGTTCTGGTACTGGCGAAAGTTCTCATCGGTAGTGGCGTGCGACTCACGTGTTGTACGGTTGAGATGCTATTATTTTTCTTCTTATTGTAAACTCGTAGTAAAATGACATTAAAGAAACTACCGATCAATAAACCACGTTTCATAAGGCGTTATACACTGTGGTAATTACAATAAATTTTCGATTCTACTGCTAAAATTTTAATGACGTTAAATTACATGAGATGTTTATTTTACGTCACGTAGACTTCACTCTTTTTATTCAATTACATGAGATGTTTATTTTACGTCACGTAGACTTCACTCTTTTTATTCGAATATTTGATAATATTATAATCGATATAGCAATGAAATTCATCGCTAATGATATGACAAAATAAAACTTTTGTTACAAGTGCTTTGCTTTATTGACCTTTATTGGTCTGTAACTCTCTTGTGACTTTGAAATATGTACATGTTTTTAATCAAATAAAAAGTAACACATGTCGAGAAACTTGAAATTGGTACTATGTAATTTTTAAACAAAATGATGTAATTACATTTCTATATAAATAATAAAAAAATGCCAACATCAGTTGCTGATACATCACAGAAAATATAACTCAATAGTTTAACAGCAGTGTTGTATATATCAGAGATTCTTACTTTTTTATATATATTTTAGTAAATATGGTTGAAGATGATTGGATATACTGAATTTAGTTTAAAGAGACGGAGTTTATAAAGTACTTTTAATTTTCTTTAAGTAAAAAAAAATATCCAAAAATAGCTGTATATAAGTTAGCATATTTTTACAACATCCTTCTTTTCATCATCTTTTTTTTTTATTGAAATCATCAGGATTATTTTCCAGAGTATAAATACGTTCTTGTCGAAGTTTAAACATTTTTAGGTTTGATTTATTTACACAACTTATTATTCTAGGTAGTTTTCAGGGTTTTCTTTTTTATAATAGGATCTTTTGGATAACGATACTTTCAAGACTGACTGGCCATTTCGGTTTTCAATTATTAACGACATTACAGAGGTAAGTAAATTAACGATTTTATGCACAAATTTTCTCATGAAAAATTCAATAAAGTTGGAAAAGACTTTCAATAGTTCGAAATACGGACAGGGAAAATTAAGATGTATGTTTTAAGTTATTTTTTAATTCGAAAGCAGAATTACTTTTTATATTAAATAGAGTTTGCTTTGTATTGCTATGGCATTTATGATACTTCACCAGGCAAGTTGTCCTACAATCTGAACACATTCAGCTGTGGATACGTTAGAAGAGTGACAATAAATTCCATTATTCTGTTCAAAGTATGACAAAACCCTTGTTAAGGTGAGGGCTGTTGATTGACTGTCTTCCCTCAGGTCAGTAGCTCAAAACTGGGGACAGCTATATTTAAACCCTAGGGATCTTTCAACTGGCTGTTTAACCTTTGTGTTCATACGATGTCATTCAAGTTAAAAATATCATACCATACTTACAATCTGATGTAAAATATAAAATATAACACAAAACAAGCATGTCAGCTCTAGGCTAGCATGAGCAACGTACTTTAACAAAGTATATTTATGTTTTGTTTTATTTACATGTTGTTAAAAGTATTTTATAAAATATAATCAGTTATCTCATCAATTCCAGATGATTGATATATAAAGAAGTGTACAGTCGGTAACAAAATACATTATTATTTTACATTAGTGCCTCTGAGACGTGTTTTGTACTCAAGAAAGCTTGCTAGTAGTTTTCAATATATATATAACATATCTTATTTTTGTTTTTCCGAGTGGGTTTGATACTGCAATTATTTACAGTATAAACATTACAATACACAAATACCTATACTCTTCCTACTTATCCTTCTTATTAAATTATTTCAATACCGGCTAATTGTGTTAATGTTTGATATACAAATTAATACGAACCTTGTCTTTAAAGGACTATTCAGAAATATTTGTTTAGAAATCATCAAATGTTAAAGCATGTAAAATAATTTTGATGACAGTTATGTTGTGTTTTAATTACTTTAATAAGCATATTTTCTTTATTTCTGATCCTTAACAAATTATTATATCTGTTTTAAGTATACTTATACTATTTGAACGTGTTTTTTTTTTACGTTTAAAGTGTTTCTAAAATGTTTCAACAAATCTTCTTTTTTATTTAATTATTTAAAGGAATATAGATATAACTAAAGAGTGCTACAAGTGCCTCGTTTCATTGCTAAAGAAATGTCTCTTGTTATTTCTTATCGTTGACGTACAATTTTTGCATTTAAAGATATTAGATTAAACCTATATGTATAAATGTTCCATTATTACTTTGTTATTTTCTTACTCAGTGTAGCATAAAGGGCGTCATTATTAATTACTATTGTTCGTAATGATATAAATTGATTCCTGTTGTTATCAAGTATAAGTAAAATTATCTACGTTTCAAGGATGTTATGTCAAAGTTTAGATAAGTAAAACACATGATAGGCAGCGTAGACTAGCATGTTTACATAATTGTTATCTACACATTTGTAATATAAATGATAAACCCTTCGTTAACAATGTGTTACAGTACAACCCGATTTCATACAATACGACATTGTATTTTAGTGCTGTAATGTTTTACGGAAGTATGTAGTGTTCTGTAACTGCCAATTTATTTGAGTAAATTCTAAAACTAATAATTATAAAGTATCATAGACATTTACGACAAAAACAACAACAGAATGTTTGGTGGGATTATATAATGTAGAAACTTTTGCAGTAACAAAGTTTTGATTACATCAGAAACAATGATATAATACACTAACGCACTCATCTGACAAAAAAAAATGGGTTTCTTACATTTAACTGGAGAAAGATGATATTCGCGCCTGTTTCCGCCGAAAAGCACTGTGCATGTTGGGATTAAATCCCACAATTAGATTAAATAAGAGCAGCCAAAGAGTTGTATGTGAATGCTGTTGACTAGCTTCCTTTCCTCTAATCTATATATTTAAAAATTAGGGAATCTTATCGTGTAGCTTTGCTTGCGAATTGTTTGGTTTGAATTTTGTACAAAGCTACACGAGGACTATCTGCGCTAGCCATCTCTAATTTACAAGTGACTAGAGGGAATGCAGCTAGTCAACACCACCCACCGCCAACTTTTGGGCTACCCTTTTTACAAACAAAGAGTAGGATTGACAGTCACGTTATAACGCCCCCACGACTGAAAGTGCGAGCATGTGCGGTGTGACGGAGATTCGAACCCACGACCCGCAGATTGCGAGTCGAGCGTCCTTATCACCCATGCTCGAAAATTCAGAAACAAAAAAAAAAGTAGAAAAACTGTAATTCTATATGTCTTAGAGTAATCGTTTTACATCAGTAGAAAATAGTTGTTTACTACAGAAGTTAAAGTTTCTCTGTTCGTTTACTGTGGTTTGGTTTTGGTTGTTATTAAGCACAAAGCCACACAACGGGCTATGTGTGCTGTGCCCACTACACATATCAAAAACCAAGTTTTTATAAGCCTTCAAACTTACCGCTAAGTCAGTGGGAACTCTTTTATTGTGTTACATTTTCAAATATTGACCGAAATAATACACAACGAGTAGCTCAAAATGTTTTTGAAAAATCTAAGTTAGGATTTGTGAGTATCCCCAAAATCGATATTTATAAAAAGAAAATTTCGTTTCAATAAATGTACGCATATATATATACATATCAATATATATATATATATATATGTTATTTATCATATATATATTCATCTAAGTTGAAATAATTAATTATAAACAAAAATAATTTTATCATATATTTATGAGAGAGAGAGATAAATTAGGCAATTTTTTTATAATATATTTATGAAATTCTCAGACTATAATATTGTAGAATTGTAAGTAGTGTATATAGTATTATATAAAATAAGTAAATAATTAATTAATCGTACATAAAGCGTGTTTTCATTAGAATAGTTTAACGAGTTTAGTTTTTATTTTGATATTTGGAGTGTAAACCGAAAATTAAAAGTACTGGCTCGAAGGTTTCAGTTAATGATGAGATTATCATTTGGAGGGTTCGTGTATTCCTCATTTATGTATATTGAAAACTAAATTCAAAAATAAATTTTGTTCCACTTAATAATAAATAGAAAGTAGGTCATTTTTGGCTACGAAAAAAATTAAAGAAAATTATTTATGGATGAGGACTTCGTGGAAATTTTTGAAACTACAACATTTTGAACGCTATTCTCAGGCCTTATTTTTCTTTTGTTTACAACTCGATGAATTAAATTACAAATTTACAGATGGTTACAAGTTATGAAAAACGATTATTATGTCGTCAGAACATTTGAAAATTCATGGATAACCACTTTGCTATAAAATACTTACAGGGACTAGCGTTTCTTCACCAAAGCCCTATCAGTTTCCACGGCCGTCTGAAGTCAACCAACTGTGTGGTGGATGGAAGATTTATGGTCAAGTTAACAGACTTTGGACTGAGATCTCTATTAGCACAAGTTGACAGGGATGTAAGACCAAATCCGTGTGAGTTCAATAACGTATTTTAAGGATGTTATTATTATTATACATTCTGTACAATAGACCAATATTATAATTTACAATTTTTCAGAATAGAAGTATAAGTGTATAGCATATTTAGGAGATGTACTATATTCTCCAAAACACAGTTTACACGTTTGGCCCAATACCAATTTCTCCAAAAGTCTTCATAACTTACTATCATTTCATGAAATTTGTGATTTTATAGCATATTGTATTGTATAGAGAAAAATTCTTACTGCCTACATTGTACCGCGTAATATTTGATACAAGTTAGTGTATACAACAAGGCTTATTGTAACTGAATATTAGTTACAATATATTCAGCACTTTCCTACCACAGATTCATTATTGTGGACAGCTCCTGAACATCTTCGGAATGATATCTTTGGTTATCAAGGTTCACAAAAGGGTGATGTCTACAGCTTTGGTATCATTCTACAAGAAATCGTCACTAGGTTAAAACCCTTCGAGAGTATTGAAAAGGAGAACCATGTCTACAAACCCGAAGGTAGTCAAATTTTCAAGTCTACCAATTAACACTAATAATACTACTTGGCACCATTCCTAATTAACTAACTAATACAAGAATGGTCAAAAGCTTTCATCATTCTATTCCTCTCTATTGGAGTTTAAAATTATGTCATAAATACTTCTGTTACATTGGTAGCAAATTTAGTGCCTTAGTGTGTGCGAACTAAACGAAAACAGGGTGTTATGCATTTAGTATTTACCTCAAAATGTTAACCATAAACTTATATAAAATTTACCCTTATAAGTTACGAAATATACACAGGTATTTATAAACAATTTTAAACATAGGATAGAGGAGAGTTTCTGTTTTTTAATAATGTCAACTTATACTTGGTTATGTTTTCACACAAGAGGCGGTAATATTTATGTCCTAAAACTACACTGTTTTTTGAACTGTATTGGGACAGCGTAGTTTCAGAAGGGGGAGCGTGTTATGTGTAACCATTCGATCTCCAGGTTAATAAGAAAGGCTCATCGTTCGCGTTTAATCACACTTTGGATTCTTTTACTGACCCTTGCCTCCTATTGTTGGTGTATATCTGGTGAAAGAAACCGTTATTCTTCACGCAAAGCAGCTCCAAGTGTTCTTTACCCAATGTTTGTGGCACCCATTCTTGAAATTCAACAGCATGGAGCTTTTTACACACAATCTATATTCTGGCTCCTACTCCTGAGCTCTTATTAAAGCCCTGGTTGATTGGTCTGAAGCCAGGTGTGGATTTCATTTCACAACACGGTATCAAATTCATGTGGATATCACACTATAAGTAGGTGTTGTGATGTGTCTTGAACACTAATACTATTGATGCCACTTTTTTCGAAGTTTAACTGTCTCCTTCGTGTTAATTTAACTCCTGGTTGGGTATTGCAGCTGTTGACCTTTTCCAAACTCCATAACATTCAATTTCTAATCCATTGCAGATTGAGGCATTACTTGTTGGAGTTGCGCTTTTCTAATAATTAAAACTATATAAAATATATATATAGCTATATTTAACAAACAAATACATAATACGTTATTATTTTTATTTCATTAAGCCTTCAATATTGATAAACAAGTCACGAGAATCATTACCTCTAGCAATAGATGTATTGGCTTTAAGTTCATCATAACTTGAGTATCTTATCAAAATGGTAAATATTCGTACTACGCTGGTTACAAAATTTTTAGTTTCTATTTCAACTTTAAATATCTCTTACAAAACCTATAGCTGGCTACGGTAATTAAAGCACTTACTTTAGAGGGACATCCATTTTGTAGTAGAGTATTATATCGTTTAGGTGGGTTTTTTTGGATTATGATAATGAATTAGTATATTTCTATTATAACTTTCTCTACAGGCTACGTTCACATTGACACAAGTTGTAGGCCTAATGTCAAATACAACCATTCAACAGAAAATTTGTCGCTAATGGTGTGACTAACTCATAGATAAACTTACTTAAATAATTCCACGGCTAACTGATCGAGTAACTGAATAGATACGATATGTCTCACTTCTAACATTGATCTGAAACATTCACTGACGACCCCTTGAATGTTTCAGTGACTCATATGTATGTCATTCCCGCGTTTCAATATATTTCTCGAATCCTCTCAATTATTACGTCATGATGAAATTTCTGAATATTGCATTATCATCATGATTAGTAGCTCCCTCTGGCAAACATCTAAATTAAAATATTAAAAATATAGCTTACAACAATATCCACGTAGCATCTAGAAATACTATATTGACAGTAAACATACATATAAAACATATAGCTCCGAATTCGGAAGTACTTATAAACCAACAACCAGAAGTATTGCAAAAGTAAAAAATGTTAGTTTTATCTGCGAACATTCAGCATAAAATCAGTAAATCGTTGTGTGCGTTGAATTTTCCTGCACATTTTATTCATTTTTACATAATCATGAAACGTAATAACCGTAAATGTGTTCACAAAATAGTGCCTTTTACAAAAAGACGTATAGCTTTATTTATGCTTACAGCAATAATCTACCAAGTGAAAATGGGAGCCATACCACCATTCCGTCCTGAGAAGTTTCTTGTTGATCACCCAGTAGATTTTCTGGATATGCTGAATCTTTGTGTCCATGAAAACCCAGCCTCAAGACCAAACTTACCCTCTATCAAACAGCAAATGAAGAGAATTACCGAGCAAGATTACTTTTTAATCTCTCATATATATATATGTGTGTGTGTGTGTCTATATACTTTTGTAATGTTAATGAAAACCCAGCCTCCAGACCAAACTTACCCTCTATCAAACAGCAAATGACGAGAATTACCGAGCAAGATTACTTTTTAATCTCTCATATATATATGTGTGTGTCTATATACTTTTGTAATGTTAATGAAAACCCGATAATTTAATATATCAGATCAATTTAATACATCAGACCTAAACAATGTTCTTTTCAAATTCCAAGTACTTTTTTTGTTTTCAAACAGCGAAACAATATTCAATTAGCAGCTGAAAATTTTGACATTAATCATAATTTAAGTTTTTGTGAAGTATATTTCATAGGTTTTGAAAAACCTGGAGTCTTACGGGTTGGAAAACTGTAAACCTGATATGAAAGATTATTTGCATGTTTAAGTAATAGGTTTTATAACGACGTTCGCAGGGGAATGGGAAGTGGAAACTTTTTAGATAATCTCTTAACACGAATGGAGCAGTATGCCACGAACTTGGAGCAACTGGTGGAGGAAAAAACTTCTGCTTTCTTGGAAGAAAAGAAAAAAAGTGAAGAACTGCTCTATCAAGTCATCCCTAGGTAAAGATTCCAATATGCGTTTTAATTAAGTTTAACTAAAGAGGAGATTTCGATTATTTTTTATAAATAAATTCACGCAAGACTTATGTTACATGTAAAGCAAATCGATATGTCAATGTACTATACGTGGAGATCTATTTGTTTTTCAGTAAAAAAACAAGAAATCGTAACTAATCAAAACAATAATGGCAAACATAACTAATTAAAATTAGGTATAGAATAATTTATAAGGAAACAAATGGAAGTACGTAAGTACTGTAATCAAGGACCGAGCGTGGCCCTATAATCAGCGTGGCGGAATGCGGAGCTGAGACTCCGTGATTGGCATCTCATTACTGTCCAAACAAAATTGGATCCGTGGGTGCTTTATAAGAGTGAGATTTAAATTTAAAAACAAACGTGTTAAACGATTTATTTTGTTTGTAGTTAAGCACAAAGCTACACAACGGGCTATCTGTGCGCTGCCCACCACGGGTATCGAAACCCGGTTTTTAGCGTTGTAAGTCCGCAGACATACCGCTGTGCCACTGGGGGAGGGGGCGTGTTAAACGAAAGAGTTCGATATACCAAAGATATTAGACAAAAGGTCATCTCATGTCTCTCATTTCGTATAATTGCTTGCATGTCTTAAATGCAAAAACTCTTGCCTTAGAACTGCCAAAGATGCTTGTGCTGACACCTAGTGGCTAGAAAACATCAGTGAATAATTATGCATTAATGATTTTTTGCATAACATCTAATATGGTTTTATAAAAACAGTATTGAAAACTTACATACTTGCATTTTTAGAGGTTGAGTACGTTATACTAAAACAATTTTGGAACCTTACCATGTCGTTACAGTCCATGTTTTTACGACCATGTCGTTACAGTTCATGTTTTTACGTCTGGTCATGCTCCATTTAACTACCATACAACTTGTTATGCAGGCGTGGATCCAGGGATTATTTTACTTACTTTTTTTTTCCCATTTGGACCCTCTCCTGCTCAAAATCCTGGATCCGCCCCTATTATAGTGTAAATGCCTTTTGTTGACGAAGCGTGATTACAATCTATTATATTTGTCATAAACCAATAGTATTAGGCTTACTGTGTTTTTGAACACCACATTCTTTATTCGGCCCCATAGGAATTATCCGAGAAAAAGAGTGTACAATAGTATTTCAATCATATTACGTCCGCTTCTTCTTCATTTCCTTCTGTTTCCAAAGTATCCATTTTCAAGGAATATTATAATGATTATGTGTTTATTCCTTAATCTTAGTACTTTTTGTATTGCAAGTTATGTTCAATGCGGAGAATATATAACACCAGTCTTTATAGTGTTTGTGTGGTTTGATCTACAGTGGTACTATATCACACCAACCCCTCTTAAAAAAGGACCAGGATCGACACTAACGCCACAAACATAGTCATTCTCAGAATTTTCCAAATTAAAAGCTGAAAATAATTCATATTTAATAATAAGAAAAGGTAACTAATTAATAAACTGACTTATGTGGCTGTATATGCTACTAACCATGAAACAATTACTTGTTGTTATTATTGTGTGACGTTTACTATTGTTTGTTTTTTTGGAATTAAGCACAAAGCTACACAATGGGCTGTCTGTGCTATGCCCACCAATGGTATCGAAACCCGGTTTCTAGCGTTGCAAGTCCGCAGCCATACCGCTGTGCCACAGGGGGGGGGGCACGTTTGCTGTCATTGAGATATTTTTGCTTAAAATTTAACCGTATATTCTGTGTTAATTAGTTTATGCTTTCTAGAATTACTTAAAAAACCATCATTTGTATATATCTCAGTTCAATTTAAGAAATAAAATATATTTTCATTCACGGTAAATTGTCTAATAAACAAACTGTGTCACTATATAAATATTTTCTTAAGGTGTTCGCAATAAAAATTTGCATAAACTTTAGGTAAAGTAATAATCATAATCATGATCACTTAATATTTTTTTTATAATAAACCTACCAAATAATGAAATCAATATCTAACGAGCAATCAGTCGCAGTTAAATAAGTCACACCAGCTACAGCTCTGTGAACAGATTATGTGGGATAACGTGAAATAGGAAATGATGACATTTCTATAACGTGTCACATATTCGCTGTTGAATATCATAATGAATATTGTTGCATATCTACTTGTTTGTTAATTTCCGGTGGAAATTCTTTCCGAGAAACTTCAGTGATACAAGTCCTTTCTGGATTAAACCAGTTTATTCTTTCTCGATACAAACTTTTAGTACACAGTAATTTCACAATCACTACGTTTC